AGACTCTTGAGAGTTCCCTGGACTGCAAAGAGAACAAACCTATCAATTCTAAAGGAAATCAACCCCGAGTGCTCATTGGAAGGACAGATCCTGAAGCTGAGGCTCCAGTACTTTGGCCATCTCATGAGAAGAGAAGACTCCTTGGAAAAGACTTTGATGTTGGGAAAGTGTGAAGGCAAGAGGAGAAGGGGACGACCGAGGATGAGATGGCTGGACAGTGTCATCGAAGCAACCAACATGAATTTGACACAACTCCGGGAGGCGGTGGAGGATAGGAGGGCCTGGCGTGCTCTGGTCCATGGGGTCACGAAGAGTCGGACACAACTAAACGACTGAACAAAACAAAAAAAAAGTGCTTTTGTTGCATCCCTGCTTGTTAAAGGGTCTGAGAATTTTAGTGAGTTTTCAGGAGAAAATCTGAAACATAATTATCACTATAAGATAATAGTGTTACATAAATAAGACCACCACCTTCGCTATCATTTTTGTTACCCTTGATGCATGGAAGGTGACTTGTCTGAAGAGAAGAGCTGCTGTGGAGGCTCTCCATGTGATTCAAAACCCTTGAAAATCAAAGCTCCAAATCACATGGAAACCCGTCAGGGATCACAGATGCCTATCCTTTTTCAGATGTTTGACAGTGAAACTGATGGCTTCCCTTTCTTAGGGTGTTTACTTAGATCACATTCTTCTACTTGAAGGCCATACAGACCAATCCATTTTGTTGCAGGAATATTGCTGAAGATCATTCCAGACTTAGCAATTACCTGGAACACCTCTGTGGGTTCATGGCACAGTAACCAAGAAGTTGCCTATACTTAGCACAGTTTTGGTTTACATATTAATAGTATTCAGTCCCTTGTGAGCATATTCACACCACAAGGCATGCCCCTTGAGAGCACTGTAAAGATACAATGGCTTGATGCCCATCAAAATTTATTCTTGGATTGGCTGCACCGTTTGACCATCTGGTTATATTTATTTATTTTTATCTTTCCCTTGAAGAATTACAGTGGTGCCTCGCAAGACGAGCACTCCGTTTTACGACGAAATCGCATTACGACGAAGTTTTTGCAATCAGAAAAGCGATCGCAAACAATGTTTCCTATGGGGGAATTTCGCTTTGTGACAATTGGTTCCCTGCTTCGGGAACCGATTCTGGCAAAACGATGATTTTCCTACAGCTGATCGGTGGTTTCAAAATGGCCACCGGGTAAAAAAAATGGCTCCCCGCTCTTTTCTGGGACAGATTCCTCGCTGCACGGGCAGCAGAAATGGCCGCGCTATGGAGGATCTTCGCTGGACAGTGAGTTTCAAGCCCATAGGAATGCATTAATCGGGTTTAATGTGTTTCTATGGGCTTTGTAATTTTGCTTTACAATGTTTTCGTTCTACAGTGATTTCGCTGGAACGAATTAACATCGTAATGCGAGGCACCACTGTATCTTAAAAGATCTGCATAGAGGATGGGACAACAGTATTGTATAGAGCTAATCAGTAGCTTTATATATACGTCAAGCCCTTTGCACATGAACAGATGAATCTATGCATACAGAAGCAATTGTGCAGAACAGTCCTAAATGCAAAAATCTGCTCCAGTTACTGCAGCAGTAAAGTCAGTCCATCCAAAACTCTAGTAGTCCTGCAGAGGCAGACCTGCTATAAGGAAGTAGAAAAGCAGGTGGGTAGGGGAATACATACATCTGTGGCATCCCTAGAACCCATGTCCTAAACAATCAGCCACTCACTACTCCTTTGCTTGCCTACAAAGCAAAGGAGTAGTGAAACTGGCAGCGTGTGCACCATGTGCATCTGAAGAAGTGGACTTCTCCACAAAAGCTCACAGTAAAATATAGCAATTAGCCTTTAAGGTTCCACAATGTTTTTGTTTTTCCTTTTTTGTGTTGTTTTGTTTTTTCTTGCAGGATTTGGAGACTATACTTTTATTAATGCAGCCTAAATTAGCATTGGCCTTTTTTGCCGCCCTATCACACTGTTGGCCCATATCTCACTTGAATCCCATATGAGGCCTCTTCCCCCCCCATCATACTAAAAAAGAAGAGGGTCCCTAGGACAACACAAGTTCAGTATCCCCTCATCCCAAAGACAGTCATCAAACCACACAGCACAGTATACAACATTGCAGAAGAACATACCTTTATTATGAGGGTTGAAGAAAATGCGTACAAGCATAGCAGACAGATACCCATGATGATCAGAGATGTTGGCAGTGAGACCAGTATTCATATGGAGTACAAGCATCAGAGGTTTAGTCCCTTAGAAACTTGGTGGAGGACCTTACACCTCACCCTAATTCTCTCTAGCTGTAGATCTTCAAGTGAGATACCCACTTAGTTCTTTGGGTCAAACGGAACAAGCTAAAATTGTCACTGCTCATTCCTTAATTTTTCAAAATGGCATCCAGGTCTCATGGTTTTCCAGTTCTCACCTTACAGTTTTCATTCATTTTTGTTTTTCTCAGACCTGGCTTGAAACTGGAACAAGGGACTAATAAAATGCAACTAACTTTCCTGTCTGTGCAGTAAAGACATGGCGCTGTTAAGGCTTCCAGAATTCCTGTGCCTTTAAAACCACCCTTCTTTTGCAATCTTAGAAAGATTTTATAGTTTCCTATTGATCTCATTTGGGGGATTGGTGAGTAATTTCCCTTTGAATAGCAACTCTGTGAGTTGGCCTAAGCTATTTCCTCCACTATTACAGCACTACTTAGAACTTCAAAATGCTTTTTTTTAAGTGGGGGGGGGGACTTCTTTTTATTAAGAGAGGAAATCAGTCATTAAACACGTCTTGCTCACTATGGACCTGGGACAACTCACAGAGAGATTGTTCAAGGGGTAATTACTCTCAGTTTGGATCAATAAGAATCCAAAACTCTGTCTGATCATGCAGGTAGTACATGTACATTGCCAGGATATAGCTTGCTCTCAGCCCACATTACAAAAGACCTGTGGCCATGGGAATGGGAATAGTTAATAAATATAGCTAATCAATACTGTATATTGTGTGCGGTGTAGGCACTCAGACCCTTCTTATTCCACTTCCAACAAGATGTGGGAGAAATGTGTTTAAGTAGTTCTAAGGGGCTCTGAGTTGGAAGCACCTGAAACACATTTTTGTAGGGATTGGGGGAAAACAAAGCACTCTTTGACCCAGGTATTGTTTCAGCCCAGCAGTGTCCCTGGGCACCCTATGCTTTCTCTCATACAAAGGAATAGCTTTCGGTCACTTATTTGGAGAAGAACAGAGACATCTCTTGGTTGCAGGAAAGGAGAGAACAAATGCAGGGAAACCTTGCTTCTTCCCGATCTAAATAAATAGGTTTCTTCACAGGGGTAAGCCAAGTGGGGAAAAAAATCAATTCTCAAAATCTGTGGGTGCTTTTTATGGATGCCCTCAGAGTATCACATGGTCACTTCTTCAACTACTGTGATCAAGTTCTCTTTATATTGGAGGAAGATCAGCATCTGGAATTAAAATTCTCATGCATGTTAAAATATGGCAAACTCTATGATATTCATATGCTTGCATGTAGACAGTCATTATGGGAAATCACAGAGATCACATTAGTCTCTGCAGTACAAGGTTAATGATATGACTCAGGGACTCAGGAGGAGGAAATACTGGCTCATGGTGAGGGGGAGGTGAAATGACTTGAACCTCCAATATTATTTTCCTTCTTCCCACTTTCAAAAAAAGCATTTTATTACCTGTTCACTTTTACTGGTGCCAGTCAAGATTTAATTTGCTTTTCTCTGAAATTATCTGAAATAAGCTTTCAGCTTCTATATTATTTAAACCTTCTTCACAGACATGTTTGATTTTAATATGACAAAGGCAGAGACCAAAGTTTGCAGGAGTTCTGCAAAGGACAGTATGTAAGTTTTCAATTAGCATGTTCGCAACCTGAAAAAATATGACTCAGCTGAGAATTATGTTCCTCTTAAATAAGAATTCCTGCATCACAACTTTTGAGGTTTTTAAATGAAGCCTATGATAGAAATATGAAAGAAAAATAGCATTATGCTATGTTCTGAGTTATTTTAATTGTGAAAAACAGCATGAAACATAATTTAAACTGAGAAGTAAAAAACGGAATGCAAAAACTGAAGTGGGATAGAGAAGGAAACTTCAATCAGTTCACTTTTTAGACAACTCATTTGAAAACCTTTTCAGTGTGCCAAATAGGCATCCTCAATTTGGCAACAAATTGGTCTTTGTGAAAATAGATATAGATGGAAAGATTGTCCTGAAAAAAAAAATATTCTTCTTTGTCACTATTACACTGGTGTCTAAGGTTGGGGGTATGTCTATATTTCAGCAAGAATTTCTGAAAAACATAGGAAATATGCTTTTTCAAAAAACAGAATTATATATTAAATAGCTTAAAAATCCAACTGGTACCCTTTAGATATTTTGGACTACAGCTTCCGTAAGTCAAGCAAGCATGGCCAATGGAGAAAGATTATGGAAACTGTAGGCCTCAAGGCCCCACATGGCCGATCCCTGCTTAATAGACAAAGATTTCTTTAAGTGGGTTACAACCATGAAATCAGTTCACATCTTTAAGTTCTTAAATCTTAATTCCTTCAGAGAAAGATAGAATCACCAAGATGTTCTTAAGGAAAGTGATAAGACACCGACAACTGTAATCCTGTGCATGCTTTCCTGGAAGTAAATCCAGCTGCATAGGACTGGACTGTTTATCGCATTGTGTAGTGATGCGATTGCAAAAATGATATGACCCAAAGAGAACAGGGAGTTCTCATATTGCACAAGTCCCTTTATTAAGGAGATATAGGTGAAATCAGCAGAAACTGATCTTGTAATTATTGCTCCATTTGAATAATGCTTTTTTTCCCAAAAGGCTTACGTTCTATAACATGTGTGGTTGTATTCCTTTATTCCACTTTGCCCTACAGTGCACAGCGATTATTGCTCCATTTGAATAATGCTTTTTTCCAAAAGGCTTACATTCTATAACATATGTGGTTGTATTCCTTTATTCCATTTTGCCCTACAGTGCACAGCAACCTGTGGAGGTGGCATGCAAGTGCGGTCAGTTCAGTGCTTGGCAAATGGGAGAGCTGCCACTGGCTGCCTTTTGCATCAGAAGCCCATTGCCTCACAAGCCTGTAATACAAACTTCTGCCCTCTTCCTGAAAAGAAAGGTATATTCACATTCTACTTTTCTTGCAATAGTTCTACATGAAGATTCCACCTGTGAAGTTGTAGCTGCTGTTAGAGATGTTGCAGGCATTCAACAAATGGTGCTCAAAAAGGGCATATCCTTTTCATATCTTTTAGTTATCTATCTGTCTGTCTGTTTGTTTGACTTATATTGGCAAACCACTACTCTGGGTGGATTACAGAAAAACATATAAGACACAAACAATAACAGAATAACAAGTGTCATAAAAACAAATTAATAACATGTAACACACATACGCCAAAGATGGATTGAATATTGTTCCATCAAGGCAGGCAGAGTACACATTGCCAAGTCTCAGTTTGGTCCCATGTATTTGTATTCTTCCTCTGCTTAGCACAAAGCAAAAGACATTTCTCTACAGTTGAGCTCGGTAGCAAAAGAAAACATGTCCTGCTTGGACATGATTGCTGCCAGCACAGTTTCTCTTCCTCTTCCTTGGCATATAAGAGAGGGACCCAGTCAAGTTTAGCCAAGGTGTTGTGGCCACCCAAAGAGAGGTAACCTCCATGCCGCTGGGGGACAATTTTGAAATGCCCGGATCTAGCTAGCTTAGAGTCAGATAGAGCCATGCTTTCTGAGGGTCTTGCAACCAAACTTTTTAAGACAGGATGGCTGCTCTACTGGAGACCACCATTTCACCTATGAAAGAGATATACATAGCCAGGAATGGTAGAAGTATGACAAGAAGTGGCTTAGTGGATTAGTGTTCTCTCTGGGTTCAAGCCGAGCAACCCTGTGTCATTAGGATGTAGCAAATACTCACAGTTTGTCATCATCAGCACATTGAGACACCTTGCTCCAAAGTGGTCAAGGGCTGCAAAATTGTTTCATTCCATCAGCAGCAGCATGAGACAAAAAAATACATTGCACCAAACATACAAGGTTTTGTGCAAAATACTCTTTTGCAAAATATAAAATTGTGTGAACTTTTTGTAAGAATCCTGAAATGTGAAACATGCACAAAACATCTTGTAAATTCACTCAGGGCGGGGGACATGAAACTCTTTGTTCTAATTGCAAGCATGAAATATGAAAAGATTTACATCTGTCCTGTATAAAACTGTACATCCATATTGCTCTGTGATGAACCAGGGAGATTTCATGCCCGACTCAAAAATTATGTGTGCTTTTATAGCAAGCTTGCCACTAAAATTATTTATGCATGTTCTCTACCCATCAGTCAAGTTAATAATGTCTAAAAAATTTTTTTTAATTTCTATTTTCAGATGCCTTCTGTAAGGATTACTTTAACTGGTGCCACTTGGTTCCCCAACACGGTGTTTGTAATCATAGTTTCTATGGGAAACAATGCTGCAGATCATGTGTCAATTCGAATTTGTGAAAATTGGTTCTAAAATGAAAAGCATAGTTCTGAGTGCAACACAAGTTGTGCCTTCGAGATTGGGGCTGTGTGCCCAGGGATCCCAAGAATCTTGAAGATTGAGTACCCTTTGCTCTGAACTTTGTTTCTTCATTAATCAATGAACCTGTATAAAAAGTGTAGTCCGGAACTACTCGGACAAGCTAGGTGCCTCGAATCCTTTTCAGTATTCTGATGTAACCCATGCTGCTGTTTTGACATGGTTGTCTTGTTCTTAAGATGCACAGAGAGAAGGGGCTTTTTAAAGAATGAGGAACAATTTGTTTCTGAGTTTGAATATTGCAGGGGCAGAGTTGAACATTGTACTTGAAAAAAAAAATTGAAGAACTGCCCAGCAGATCAACATTTGTATGAGCAACATGGACCTGCCGGAAGACTTCCTTTTTACCTCAGCTACTACTGCTAACTAACTGCTCTGGGCACATCCACTGGGAGGTCCTCTTGTGCAAATCCCACTGAAATTCTTGGGAATTGTGCAGATGAACTAATGCACTGGAACACTTCCATGGAGCTTCTGCAGAACAGCTTCGCCCTGGACTGTGTTTGAGATATTTATTATGTTTTACTTAAACCCTTGCCTGACTCCCAGGCACTTTAGTGGGGCCTCATGTAGGAGGTGCACTTTGAGATGATTTCTTGCTATTCATGGGCAGAGTCATGTCAGGCACCCTAGAGACAGAATTTGTGAATACCCTGTGGAAACAAATATTATAACTTAATATAGCAATCAAAATATGTTGGATACACCTTTGCCAATAAATAAACCTGAACTGCTTTAGGCAGACCTGTAACTTTTAATGACTAGTGAGAGTGCAGAGGAGGGACACAAGTCTCGGGGTGCCCTTTCTCTTTTTCATCCTTTGTCAGATAATAAGATCCTTGGTATTTGTTGTTTTCAAATGAGCAATCTTATTTAAAATATATTCATTTTATGCTTTACTGTTAAGTACAAAAAGTGTTCTGTCATCAGTGTTACTTAAATGGCTGATTATACCAAAACTATGACATTCACATTTAAACATAAGGTACTATCATGTTAGATTCCAGCATTGTAGCAGTGTATACATAATGAATCTATGAGGTTCTTTCTTTTCTGCATTGTAATAGTTACTTAGGTCACCTTGAAAACGTTTTGCAAATTTTGAAACATCACAGAATCGTTGAATTAGGAACCATTTCCTGCAGTTCCACAAAGCTTGGAAAGATTTATATTTATTACTGAGCATGGAATGTTGAGTCCTGACTATCTTGGTTTTCATAAAAGAAAGAATGTTGCTGACTCTCCTAGTTGTAAAGATATACTGATGTGTGAGAGCCATGAATGCCAAAATACCATGCTAGAACAATGTCTGGGTAGCATTGCCCAGTGTTTCTTATAAGCCCTTGGTTCCATACATAAATGTTCTTTCTTCACCACAAGTAGCTAAAGCATAACGCATTTTGGAAAATATGGGAAAATATGCACATTTGTATTGTTTGCATAATTTAGACAAGGATACCGAATTTTGTTTTGGTGCTGAATTGTTGAGTGTTGGAACCATAGATTGTGAACAGCCCTAACTAAAATGTCCACTGCAATTACAGCATTGGTGCTGCCTTAAGATTCTTTGGTGCTATCAATCCAAACATGAATCTGACTATTTATGTTACATGAAATTTAATTAAAAATATTTCTTTCTCTAATGTCTTTTGCTTATTTGCATAGTCATTATGAAATTTAGTTTAGAGGTATAGATCTTCTACTTTTGTTTGTGATGTTACTACTTTGTTATCAGACTCTACTATTTTGACTTTTATAACGTGGTGTCAGATCATCCAGATACATGCATACACATTCTAGTTCCTAGAATTATGCCTGGCACAGTAGACAAGCTTTTCAGCAGCACAACCCCTTTTTTATGCAAAATCCTAAATTCTAGTAATCTGTTGCAGAAATCTATTTAAATTGATTGTTTTGTTGTCGTTGTTGTGGAAATCACAGTCTTGCAACCTTCCTCAGAATGTTGCTATGCCCTCCAGCAATCCAGTTCTAGGAACTAATGCATTTAGCATGACATACGGTAGAAATCCATGGCAAGATTATACAAACATGGGAGAAATAGGAATAGACTCTGCTAGAGTGGCTCAGTAAAGTACCATGGGACAAAATAATAATTTTAATTGGAATCGTGTTGGCATTGAGCGTTTTGAAGAGTATGCTTGCATTCATTTGAAAGCTCATACATAAGTGAATGTCTTCCGGGTTTCTCCCAAGGAAAAAAGCAATTCAATTCACGCTATCTACAATGAAACCTGAAAGTGGAGGAAGCTTCCTAACAGGAACATATCCTGTCTCTTTTACAAAATAAAATTCTACAGCAAGCTGAAAAAGTCTATACAGTATGTGATGTGATGTATTCTGTTAATACAATGGAGTGCCTTTCACCTTAACAGAAAATGCCAATGTATTTTGAAGAGCATTTATTAAGGGATGGGTAGACAAGGTCATTTGATATGTCTTGGCATTTCATGTTAATCTAATTAGATTAGATTAATGCAAAGATTGTGAAAAGTGTTATATGATAACGTTCACCAAGAATTTAAAGAAAGGGTGTGAACATCTTCAGGGTATTAAAATCTGCAAAACCTCAGACTTCGTATCTTCAAGATAATTTGGGCAAAAATCAGAAGATTCTCTTTTTACAATGTTAGCTGGACATCTTCCACATTATCCATAATAAAGAGAATCTTCCCTTGCATTTTTTTTAAAAAAATAAGAACTAAATGTTCTTACTGTCAGTAAGTAATACCTGTTAACTTTTCAGGAGGAAACAGAAGTTATTGACTAAGATTTCCATTGGCTGGACGACATTCAGCACTTTCCATCAGAACCAGAATGAATTACACAAAATAGCAAAAATCTAAATTTGGAATAAATCACTTAAAAGCTGCAAAACTGAAAAATCCACAGTATGCATAATGCATACAAGTAGCAAAATTCAGCCAAGTTTGATGAAGAATTTAACTCACTTCTTGTGGTACTGTTGGATTTAACATGGTGGATTGGTTGGTCGGCTGTCTGTCTTTGGCTATCTGCTTAGAAGAAAAATATGAGAGAAAACAGGGAACATTATTTAGCAAGTCAAACTCTTGGGAAGCAGAAGTTAACATGAAATATTAGATTGGGCTATAATTTGACAGCAGGTCACAAGTCTCTTTTAGTACAAAAGTGGGATCAGCTTTTGTCCTGTTATAAGCAGAGCCAAAACAGCCCTCTAGTATCCTGAAAAGAGAAATTTAGACCTCAGGGCAGAAGTACATGCTGTGGGAACTATGTGACTGAACAATGGTAGCTTTCTGTTTCTTCCCTTCTCTTCCATAATGTTATGGTCAATCGTTACCATTTATCTTTCTCCATGTTTCTCCTTCTTTCATACTGCTGCCACCTAGGAAGGAGGTGAACCTTGAAGTGTGGAGCCAGCCTGAGATATTTTCCTGCCTGATACACAGCAGCAAATAGTGCCACTAACCCAAGCAAATTAATATATGTTGTTATTTTGGTACTAGAGACAAGGGAAGGTGATATTTTTTAATTTATGAACTGTAAATATTATGAGTATAATTCTGTGTTCTTGCAGTTCCTCCTGACAGACATATGCCTAAATGTGGCTCAACTGAGAGAAAGGCCTCATGTGGAAAGTTTTATGATGTAGCTGGGAGTTTCATTTTTAAATAGGAAGTTAGGCCTAGCTAGGCCACAAAGCCTTCTGTCTTAGGCCTTTCTCCAAGGTGAGCGACATTTCAGCATCTGTCTATCAAGTGGAACTCTCGGAATGGACAATTATGGGATCTGTAGTCCAAAAAAAATCTGTGCCTAGAGAGATCAGCAACCTCACACATATTTCCACTCAAACCTGGCAGTAAAAAAAAAAGTAAAAAATAATAAATAACCAAGAATTGCTGCTCTTTCATGACAGCTCCAGTTTGCTATGATAAGATAAAATGTCAAAGCAATTTTGTTTGGCTATACCAAATTTAATTATAAAGTTTATAGTTAGATGTTTGCCCCCAGGTTCACTTGCAAGGAAAAAGAAAGTTGTCTTCAGATTGTAAAAAAATAGAGATGTTGCAGTGGATATAATGTTAGCATGTATTTCAGATTTTGTACGTAACATATTACATGTGCACATTTAGATGTTCCTGAGTGCAGGCACTGTGTAATAGTAAAATCTTCGCTTCTGGACAGTGCCAACTTAATTATGAAGTCTGGTCACAGATGAGGTGTGTTAGCATGTGTGCTATTCCCTCTTTTGGGAGTCAACTTAGTCAAAGGAGGCACAGAAATACTGCTTTTTGAATTCTAGAATTAATCAACTCTACAATACAAACAGTTTTAGGCATAGCAACTGAAGTAGAAGACTAAGTGAATAAAATGCCAACTCATAGATTTAAATTCTCAAGAAAGAATATATAGTAATAGAATCTGTTTCTGGAGAAGTAGCATAATAGAGTCTAATAATTTCTGACTTACGGTGTCCCTTTCGATGATTTCCTAAGTAGAGGATACTTAGAAGTGGTTTACTGTCTCTTCTTCTGGGACTGTGCAGCTTGCCCATGGCTACATACGTTTGCTCTTCTCTTGGGAGGCACAGTAGGGAATTGAATTCCCAGCCTGTGGCTTTGCAGCCGGATATCTAATTCACTGAGCTATAGGGGTCTAAGCAACATTCCCTCTAAGCCATGTGGCTGAGCAGGTGGGTGTAGCCGAGCCAGTATTGCCCCCCAATTTGCTTCCAGTCACAACTGGAACCCTGCATGCACAGGGCAGAGCCCCTACTCAGCACTCTGGAAAATTAGAGGGGCCATTGGTCTATACAATATCTAATCAATGTTGGTTGTGCTAAGGCTATGTCAGTGCCACAAGGAGCAGTTACATGTATGAAAGGTCTAAATTCTGGTTTCTTTGGCTAATCGGACAGGGGTTATGTCAACAGGGAACCTTCAGGTTTCTGAGGGAGTAAAGGATGGGAGAAGAAATTTTACAAGCCTGGAAGAAGACAAGAGTCTACAGAGGTTTGTCTTATGCCACAGAACCACCACATCAGCTAATCTCTTCATGGTTTGTTGTGGCCAAAGAGGAGGGAAATATTGAGGTGGCTGTGTTCAATACAAGTGCATAGCAACTGTCAGTCTATTTCCATTTCCCCGGCTTCCCTTTTTCAGCTCTTCATATTGAAGCATTTCTGTCCCACAAGCTCTTGTAAATTATTTGAATGGGCAGAAGAGGGCATCAGATTGGAAGAAATACAAGGGAGGGGTTTATGCTTACAAGAAACAGCATCACACAGAGACACCTTCACTAACAGACATTGATAAAAAAAATCTCCAGATACAGCACAGCATCTAACTTCAAGAAATGTAACATGTAATTAAACCAACCTAGGTTTGTCCTGACTACATTCTCCTACAGGATCTGATAGCATTAAGGCCTCTTGGACTTATGTCTCCTACATAGTACACAGAGACTCAAAACCTGACTCATCCAATCACCATTGGTTCAATGAGTCTACTTTAGTTGTGACTTACTCGTGGTGCAGTGGTTAAACCGCTGTACTGCAGCCAAAACTGTGCTCACGACCTGGGGTTCAATCCCAGGTAGACAGCTCAAGGTTGACTCAGCCTTCCATCCTTCTAAGGTCGGTAAAATGAGTACCCAGCTCACTGGGGAAGGGGGCAATGTGTAGCCTACATAATTAACTTGTAAACTGCCCAGAGAGTGCTTGAAGCACTATGGGGCAGTATATAAGCAGCATGCTTTGCTTTGCTTTGCAACAAGATTTTCCAGTAAGCACCTCAGAATGGGAGCCTGACTACCAAACTTACCAATGGGTCACCAAAGAAAGGCCACACAAAAATGGCTGGTCAATTCCTTTACAACATAATGAGAAAATTATCCAGCATTGCAAGGTTGACCCTGAAACAGAGAAAGAGAGGTAGGGGGAAAGCAACAAACTGAGGCAAGACGTAGCACAGCCTCCCAAAAGGGGTCAGTAAATGTGGTGGGATTAACCTTTGGGTCTCAGAATAAACTAATATCAATATATTTGTGAAGGCTTTCACGGCCAGGATCTAATGGTTGTTCTGGGTTTTTCAGGCTCTTTGGCCGTGTTCTGAA